CTCTTGTTGTCTATTTCATAATTTCCAATATAAGTAGATGCACCACTATTTATTTTCCCACGAAATAAAATCAATTGATCGAATTTCTATCATTTCATTCCACCAAAAACAATTAGATAACCTCAAAATTGAATTCGAAGTTTTTATTATTTTCACTCAGTAAATATGAATACTGATCAGTTTTATAAAAAATTAATTCAAGACATGATTGTGTATCGGTAGAAAAGTAAGTTATTTTTAATGTCAATATCTCTGTGATTATTTGTTGATTTTGTTATATAATGAATCATTCTTCAAGTTATTATTCTTTATGAGAATTTCATCATTATTAAATTTCATATTCAGTATATTGTTTAGGTGAATTGTTCATTAAATACAAATATTGAAGTTCATTTATCAACTTCGAGTGCTAATTTTGAAACATAAATGGACGGTTTTTGAGTTGGTTCCAAAAAAATATTATAAAGTCCGACGATCGTAGCACTAGACATATCTATTTCTTTTCAACTGGCAACACTGTGTGTGTTGACATATTGACGTCACTATCAACCCAGCGTGAGACAAGCGTGAGAGCCTTTTTACCTGAAATTTGACCAGGCGACACATACCCAAAAGGTTGAAAAACCATCAATTATTGCAAAATGTAACTTTGCGGTGCTGGACATGTGACGATTCTCAAAAAGCAAATGGTCGCACACTTTATGTGAAATTTCGAAAGAGTTTCCTAATATCTAGCAAAGACTAGCAATTCATTTAGACGTGTTGAATTTCTATAAATTTTTTTTGTAAAAATTATTTTAATACATTCGCTTTGAGCACCCGGTAATTTTATATTCACCTTTTCGTACTTAAAAAGTTAAGCCCTCTTCCGATTTCGACGAAATAAATAGAAGTATGTGAACATTATGAGATTACCGTAAGCCGCATAGGCATCCAACAATAACCAGTACTTTTCGAATTATCTTAAAAACAAATAATTTTATCGAAATTTCACAGAGGACAAAAAACACTCAAAAATGATAGAACACTTGAAGAAAATAGATAGGAAGTCATTAGCGCACGTATAAAAAAATATGGGGGTAAGTGTGTACTTGACCCCCAGTATTTTGAATATTTCACAGTTATTTTTTGTTCTGTTTTCCTCACACGATGTAACTCTTCGTGCTGAAGAAATGTACCAATTTTGAGATCAATATCTTATTAAATACGCGAGTAATTAAAAAAAAAACAGTTTTTAAATTCCAACTTTGACACTGTATATAGACTTTCGAAGACTTTTGAGGGTTGCTCGTAAGGGGGCAAACGAATGACGGATAGAACAAATTTTAGAACAAATTTTTAGAATATGAAGGAAGGGCTAAAATGAAAAATGGTATTTAGAAACTCATATTGTTTTTGTTCAGGGAATATATGGGTAATGGACACACTGTATTTACAGGGTGAGTCATAACTATTGGGACGTAGGCTAAGGGCGTTTGTTTGGACCAAAATATGGCGATTGGACAAAATATGCCTTTATAGAATATACCTTTGGAAAGAGATACAGGGCGTTGAAGTTGACTTTTTATTATCATTTATTGCCAAAAATTTCACTGAATATTCATCAATTGTTATCGAAATTGGTACAGAGGCATAATTTCATACAGGGAATATTATTTTATGTACTAGTCTACATTTTGATACAGGGGGTGCCACGTGAATGATTCCTGATGATGAAATCGCCTGGTTACTTTCTTTGACGATACTTTCGACTGGTTTTGATTGAAAAATATGATCTCAACATCATTTCTACGTAATATTGGTACTCTTGTTTGAACACGATATTTTCATCCGTTTTCGAGAAAAACGCTATTGAACAGTTCAGAGTCTCAGGAGTTAATTACAAATATTATTTCAATCATAAAGAGTGTGCTTTGAACTGTCAGATGATGTTGCTGGTAATGGCATTTCTTGCCTCGTCACAATCATTTTATGAATGGATAAATGCGGGATGCAACCAGAAGGTATGAATTGTAATTTTGTAATATCTCTAATATCTAGATAGAAAGCAACCAAATCACAAAACTTTTTCAAATATATTTTATATACAGTGAAATTATTAGCAAAAAATCTCTTTCACAGCAATATTTTATTAAGGCATGTTTGGTCCAATAGCCATATTTTGGTCCAAACGATCCGCCCTTAGCCTATGTCCCAATAGTTATGACTCACCCTGTATACATGATGAGAGGAATACTGAGGGAAATGTTGTAAACAACGGGGAAGAAAATAGTGGAGAAAGCCCTCATGAAAACCGTAGACACGTGTTTCGGGCTTCCGGCCCTCATCAGTACGGTGAAAAAAGTGTGAAAGATAGGCAACACTTGATGGAAGACGAAACAACAGCATTATAACGGAGTCAACAAACAGAAACCAGCCGCACAATCGTGGTTTCGACCAGAAGACCCAAAGTATTCCTGCGTGACAACCGAGTCCAGGATGGCAAACATGATGAGAAGGAATATTGAGGGGGATGTTGTAAACAACGGAGAAGAATATAGTGGACAAAGCCCTCATAAAAAGATAACCGTAGACACGTGTTTCGGGCTCTCGACCCTCATCAGTACGGATATATATATGTACAAAAAACGTCAAAACAGCAGTGTCAAGTACAGTTATGAACTTAATTACTCAGTACCCATCAAAACCATTATGGTTCCATCAAAAACTTCTCTGAAAATGGAAAGTGAAATTTTCAGCCACCCGACCAACACAAAATTGTGTATTTTAACTACTTCAACTGGAAGCACAAGAACTTTCGACATGTGAACTAGTGCGAATCAAGGGTCACGAAATCATCGAGCCTATCAATAATGTTTACTATATAGCTGTTTTTACCTGCGAAAGGTCAAGGTCCCTTGTCAAAAAACGTACCTAGCCATATACCCTCAAGGGCACCTACCTTTTCAAAGTGCCAACTGGTTGCAAACTACAAAACACTTCTTCGCCAGCACAAGAGATATCAGTCCAGGCCAGGCGCTACTACTATCAGAAGTTAAGACCCCCAGAGCAAGTCTAAGTCACCTTCAAGAATTGCAATTCAACAAATTACACTGGAGAATTCACCCCTAGATTCGTCATCCCAAAATGGACAATACCGCTTTATATTGTCTTATCCATATTGGCAATATTTGGTTATCAAGGATTTTTAGAGCCAGCTGTCTAACATCAAGGGAAAACCAACCCTTTGCTGCATTACCATCCATCGATACAACAACATCCATTCCATGAAAGAAATGAAAACTCACCATCTCCAGCTACCCTCAAGGACCATCGATACCGACGAAAAAGAATGTCGAATAGACGATCCACCCTCCGCATGGATGTCTCTAATTCTTTAAACATAAGGTTCTTCACCCGAAACTGTGCAAAATTTCGGAAATTCCAAAAGTATTCCAAATAAAGGAAAACTTGTTTTCTCAACTTCAACAGTAGAGGCATGTAGATGATCTCATTATGTTGGGACAGTTCTCGAATTGTCTGTTTATCTCTTTTATTTATAGAGTGATCTCAAAGAAATACCTTTTTGGTTCTGCAGTCAACCGATTTTTGAAATCTCAGGCTCATTTTGGAGCTCAAACTTCAAATGAAGAGATATGGCGATCATAATTGAATCAAGATGGACATTATACAGTGTGTCTCACTTATAATGGAATCATCCCTGAATCTTTCGTAATTTATGTTAAGTTAGGATTCTGAAATTCGCAAGAGCAGTAGATGTACTGGAAATACACACTATGACCAAGTGGAGTCGTCTCCAGTGATTTCGAATGCGAAGTGATTTTCAACCTATCTTGGCTCCTAATAACATTTTCCGGATATTTAGGTGGTTCCATAAGTATGTCCACAGTTCAGAAATCAAAAACAGCATGGAGAAATATATCTACAAATAGGCAATAACTTCTAGTAGAGCTCAACAAAAAGCTGCAATACATGTCTTCAAAGAGAAACTCTAAGTTCTTCAGAATAGGTTATAAATAATGGGATGTGAATTCTTCCATATATTTTTTCAAATTATCATTTGTATAATATTATATCATATATCTCCCATTTATCTTGAGAATCCCTAAGAAATTGTCAAAAAATGTCCGGGAGACATTTCCAGATACTGCCTGAAGTTGTCCTTATATCGTCCTATGCATGTCCCAGGAGACCTTATAGATATGTCCTAAGATATTATTAGAATGCAGATATTGGTAACGGGAGTACAGCACAGGGACGTCCTCAGACTTGCCCTCGACGTCTCGAAAAGACATTATTGTGAACGCCTAAAAAGGGCGTGTACAGGGGTGGATCAACTCAGAATGAATGTATAAAAATTTGTCAATTTCATTCCAACTGATCCTCCTCATGAAAGCAGAAATTTGAAATGATGCCTATTCGACCAAAAATCATAGAGGATATGTGTGTTAGAGATGCTCCCCTGGCATCAGTCAATCCATAATTTACTTATTTCTCAAAACTGTTTTTAATTTGTCTCGCCAGGTTGATATTGAGATCGGAACCTTCTTGTTCATTCATTCCTGATATTGTAGTAGTTGCTTACGTCAAAAGTCAGCTCATGAGATGTTATTGTTTTCACCACTATAGAAATAAGGCAAGAAAACACGAGATACAGCCTCAGTAAGTAGCTCTTTACGCACAATAAGCACATCGCACAGTTCTCAGTCTATTCCGCCAGTATAGTTATGTCATGATCGCGTAATCGCCTTCAACAGCTGATGACTTAACTGTCAAGAATTATAACTCAGACTATTTGTCTAAACTTTTTTGATGTACTATATGGCAGTGGGTGAAGTATAGTACGTAATGCGTGTTGTAAAGCAATTACGCACTCGCAGCTCCGCGGCTACGTGCTCAACTTTTCCATTCGTGCGTAATATGTTTCTTACAACACATACGTAATATACTATTACCTACTGTTTCTCGAGAATCTGAAGGAATGATTATAAGAGTTACACTTTTCAATACCATATATTTCGAAAAATGTGTTACACCAATATCCATAAATACGGAGTAGGTTATAACTTATCAATAAAGCCACTGATAGGAAACGGCTATATTAGCAATCGGATATCCCAGATATCTGCTGTCATTCGCCACGTAAATTGACGCGATACGGTGATTCGCCAACTGAAATTTCTTGGATATTTTCGACGTCACTTTTCCAAACGTCCAAGTGTCACCCGACCCCAGGCGGAACTGCAACCCGTCCACTCTACCGTCACCGAAAGCCTGCAGACTCTCAATGTGGGTATCGCTGAAATCGAACCTGCTGGAATTGTCAGTTACCAGCCCCAAATCGTAAGCAGCCTTGTTCGAAAACTCCAGCCGCAAACCGGCCACCGAGCCCTGGTCCGAGAGGTAAACTCTTACGCTGACCAGCGTATTTCGCCGCCCGTTCATCAGTTTGGGCTGCAGAGGTTCCGGTACTTCCCTAGGAGTGGCTTGGGCGTAGAGATTGGCCGTGGGTCTGCCGAAGAAGGATGAAAAAGAGATGACGTCGTTGTATACGGTCTGGTTTGACGTGGGATCGACGGCCATTTTCTTCCAGAACGGCAGGTATTCTTCGCCGTGCAGGGCCAGGTGGGTGCGAACTGTCATCATGGAGTCGAATATTCCGGCAGCAGGAGAACTGGAAAAATGAAAACAAGGTAAACGAAAACCTCAGGTATAGTCTTCGCAAAGTCATTCAGGACACCAGAATAGATATTTTCGTGATGAGTTAGAAAACACCTAATCTCATGTAACGATCCCACTGAATATTTAATGCTACAAAATATTGCCACAATATATTGTGAAGTTTTCTTCCGTAATATGAGATTGCATCAACTATATATTCTCATTGAAATTGCAACATAATATCCCAGATAGCACAAGTACATCTTATGAATATACTATGGATATCCATCATGGATATTGCGGATGTCCATAAGATATCCGAAAAAGGTTCTGGTATATCCTATGGACGTCCATAGGATGTGACCGTGTGACCTTTTTGGATGTCTTATAGAGATATTCATTATGGATATCCATAAGATATAAACTATGGAAATTGATAGGAGATAGTATACCCTATATATATATAGAAAAAATCACATAAATTGGGAAGCACTCACGTCTCACTGCGTTCGAATAATGTAGTTGTCAGTTCTTATGCATCATCAATTTTGGACGAATTCGTAGGAATCACTCCCAAATTCACTTCAAATTAATTAAATATGAGAACAGATTGACATTATTTGACTATTCCAAGGTTGGTAGAATCCATGATCTATAAGTAGTCATCAGTTCTACCAATCTTGGACTATTTGAGACGATACGCCACCTCGCGCTGTTTTTGAGAACCGAATTAATAATAATAGCAGATAGTGCATCACGATGTGTGCTATCTTTTGGAAGACCCTTGCACAAGTGTTATTTATCATTTTATTCATTGTATACTTGATTTGAAATTTCTAGGTATCAATCTTTTGTCTCTGTATCTTATGGATATCCTATGGACGTATTCAAGACGTTTGTTTCGGATATCTCAAGTACATCCGCAATCGGATATCTTATGGATATACATTTACAAGTCCACGGATATCCCGCCTTGAATAGGACTTGAAATGGATATTCATAAGATATCCTGTGTTAACTGGGATTGATCAACTACGAACAATATCAGTGCAACGATACATACTAGAAACTAGACTGATATTTATATCCAGAACTATAAGCAACTTATGTTACATTGAAGTGTGTCGTTGGTGATGAAACTATTCTGCTTCACTATCTAACACTCGATAATCTGACTTTGCTATTGGTGGAATTCGACAAATGACAGTTTTCAATCAATCGAAGCCTCGAAGTTTCCATGAATGAAAAAGAAGGCAAAATAATCCTAGTATCGAAATCAAATATAGTCACTTATGTTCGTGACACTGAAATCGTTTTCAGCGTATATGAATATAAATTACTCTCTTCCTTTTCCAAGAATATTCTACTCCAGAACGATTGAGACAAATATAGGGTGTCCCAAATTTGGGACACAGAGCTACCACATGTAGAGAAGGTCAAAATGAGTTGATTGAATCCAATGTATTTATGTGCCAAAATGTACCACCGTTCGCCCGTGAGAAGGGTTCAAAGTTCACATAAAAAAACACATTTTTGTACGCTGTTCAGAAATAAGTGAAACAAATTGGATGAAATCTGGCAAAAGTGTATTTCAGAGGATTACTTTGCTTTTGGTAATCGCAGAAACCCAAAAGGAATTGAGGGAAGGGTTGAAACCACCCTCACCCCCTGATATATTTTTCAGAACTTTTTTAGGGTTCATAGTACGGTTCTGAAATGTTTCGAGTTTGAAGACTTATCAATTACTTTTATTTCATTACTCTTGAAAAAATTCCGTATACTACATAGTTTCGAAGAAAAAACTGTTCTCCCAAATAATGCTACCAGATATTCCGAGATATTCCTATAGCACAAGTTCAATTAAATTGTGATATAAAACTCAGTTGACAGTGGACACAGAAGCAAAACGTTTCTCCATAATAAATGTTAAATATGGAGTCAACCCTCATCAATACAAATATCAATTCGACGTTAAAATTTAAATACACCCTCCTCAAAATATCGTCGTTGTCTCGTAGTGCGTCAACGACATTTTGGATTCTGTTTCACAGCTCTTCGGAAGTATCCATTTGAACTTCATACAACTTTTGCTTTTAACGTTCTCCAGATTCAGAAGTCGCACGGATTCGAATCTGGAGACCGTGGAGGCCATTCCATCTATCAGGAAATTGTTCGTTCAGATATTATTTTACTGCACGTTCAAAATGATGCAACGTCGTGCATGAAGAACATGTTGACAAACATTGAGGGACAAGTCCTCTGATAAATCTGGCAAAATTCCTTGAAAAAAGGAAGGCGATCTGGCAACCAAAAATGTTTCGATAAATACGTTTCAAACATCAATTATGAATTTTTGATAGTTGATAGTGTCTAGCTTTAATGGCATGTCGGTTTTCATCAGCATATACATGCTCATGGTGCAGGTTCGTCATGCCACGACCTGTAAAACAAGACTCATCAGTAAACGAAATATCAGGGTGAAATCTGTTGCCAAGTAGTCTGCGCTCCCGAAAAATTCTTGAAAAATTTGAACGTGATCCGTGGTCAAGTGATAATATTTTTTGTACAAACTGTGTATGAATGAATGAATTAATTGTTCTCTGCAGATCCGATTCACAGTGTTTTTTAGAATTCGTGGTTGTCGCTGCACAGATATGGTAATTTCAATACCAGCTTCTTCCGTATCAGGTCCTTGGTCTTCTAGCGTTAAGTCGAACTTGTTTTTAACATACCTGTTTCTCGAAGACGTTTCTCGAAGCGGGCAAAAGTTTTATGATTCGGAATTCTCCGGTTTGGATACTTCTCTTGGTATACGCGGCCATTTCTACGACAATTACCTTGACGGTTAGTTTGATTGGAAATGACCCTCCCTACCACCCGACTTCTTTTGATCCATTACTCATGGGACACCTTGTATATAATTTTTTTTTTTAATTGCATTTCCTCGTTGGACCCAGCACTGAATCCAACGCCCCATAAGTCGAAACTTGTGCGGAGTTAGGAAAGCATACATTTACAAACATCCATGGCCTAACTGGGATTCGAACCCCATGCCTCGGTGGGAGTCCCCATACGAACTCAGCGCCTTCGCGCTCTCGACCACCGGGCCGCCGATATAATATATATGTTCATTCCATATTTTTTTTAATCTCACCCGAAAACTACTAAAAATGAAATACTTTCGATATCCAGAACATGTTCTGATAAGGTCCATATGGGACATAAACCAGACATTCAAATAACGTCTTCAGGACGTCTAGTTTATGTTTGATTGGACGTAATAAAGACATCTTTAAGACGTCCGATTTTGTACTTAACAATGAACGTATTGAAGACGTCTTATGGTTGTCTTTGAGATTCAATTGGACGTCTTCAAGATGTCCCTGATGATGTTTCGCGTGGACGGCTTTGTGCTGTTTGGGAAACAGTGATATATAGTGAGAGCTCACATTTTTTTCTATAAGATCATACAACAGTCCATTTTATTCATCGCCCCAACATAGGTAGTAACTTACCTGTTATAGGCTGCATCGATCGGTTCTGTTCGCATGCTCATAATGTATTTGTTAGCACCTTCAACGGTCTTATTCATGTACCTCTTGATATCGATGATGTTGTTGTCCGTCAAACCTATTTCTTCTTTATGTCTTATACCTGTGAAGAATCAACATGAATTATAAAGAATATACAGTGCCCCGCAATAATCGGAGTGGGACACCAGCAGTTTTTTGAATTGAAACTCCCCAAATAATTAACCGATTTCGATCTGGTTTTCAGATTCCAGAAGCTCATTTCATTGTCTGGAGGATCATGAAATAATAGGATGACTTAATATTTCACAGAGCCATGACGACCAGATTTATGTACAGCCATAAATTCATTAAGTGGGTATCAGAATAAAAATAATAAAGAATTATGGCAATGCCTTAAACGTATTTTGAGATACATGAACGGTACATTAGAACTTGAACTGGTCTATAAACACTGTAATTTCAATCATATTATGATTGGATATGTAGATTCCGATTGAGGTAACAATGGAACAGATCGAAAAAGTAAAACAGGATATACTTTCAAATTATTTGAAAATTGTACAATTTGTTGGAATACTAAAAGACAAAATCCAGTAGCGGCTTCATCTACCGAAGCTGAATATATGCCAATTTTTGACGGTGTACGAGAAGCTTTAAGGCTTAAAGCTATTTTGAAAAATATTGACTTCAATATAACCGAGCATATAATTATATATGAAGATAATACAGGTTGTATAGCAATAGCTTATAATCCTGTTTTTCATAAACGGTCGAAACACATTAATATCAAATATCACTTCACAAGGGAACAAGTTAAAAGTATCAAAGCCTACTCAGAACACTAATGAGCTGAGAGACCTTTCGTAAGGTCGATGGCCAGTTGGTATGTACAAGGTGAACAATGCAGAGAAAATTCTAATCTTCTCTTTACTCATAGCCGTTACGCCATCTAGGTGTTATCTAAGAAACCTAAGAATATTTTGCACCTATTTTTCAGGGTCACTTTTCTTGAGAGATTTTTTTTTCAAAGTTGTATCATTATTCCTTGCTGGGATACGGCCGACAGCCGTTCTTAGTTGTTCACCCTGTATATACATATTACATATTCCAACCAAGTACATATACTGCTACTTATACTATGTTTGTCCATGGCATTTGAATGTGGTGAGTAAGTAAAGTATGTATATGTACATCGTTGGTATGTATGTATGTAAATATACCAACTGGCGATCCACCTTAGGAGTGGCACTTCAGCTCATGTGTGATCTATGTAGGTTTTGTAACTAACTGCATAGGCCATCACCTGAGGAGCAGCACAGCGCAACAGCGAATCGTGCGGAATCATCTTCGGCCGAGGCTACGGAAATTAGAATTCATAACTCGTTTCATAAATAAAAATTCTGCCAGGAATCGAACCAAGCAACCTTTCGGCGTTCTAATTGCTAGTCGAGCGCTCAATTATCGCGCTATTCTTCAGTTTTGCATTTAATTATTATCATCATAGTCATCAAATTCGACCATGAAAGTCGTCTGACTCATACAATAAATACTTATAATAAATATAAAATAAGTTGATCGGAGAATCGGATGTTTTGATCCGACCTTTGGCCACGGTAGGAGAAACATGGCGTTTCCAGGCCAAAAGTCAGGTTGATGTGTGCTTCTAATTACCTGATCTGGATTGAAATCCAATATTTAATGTGAAGTTTATTGAGTGTGTGTGAGAAATATCAGGCTCTTTTATCTCTACGCCGGTATAGAGGCCGGATGAAGACGGATTCTCCGGATAAGGGGGCCATACTTGAAGTCAAACGTACTCCATTATTTCTACGCCGGCAACCAGGACGGATCAGCAACGGATTTGCTGGATAAGAGGAGTACATACGATCGAATCTTATGAACACTGAGGACTCGGCTTCAGGCCATTGTGATAGACAATTGGTGTCTTATGTAACGAATCGAGTGATGATATTATTACATAATTAGGTATTTATTCTTGAAAAAATTAATTACCTGATCTGGAGAAATTGTTACCGAAAGGAGACAGAAATTCAATGAACCCAAAGAGAAGAAGAAAAATCGGATGTTTTTCCTTGTTCATAGTTTGTATATATCTGTTATGATGATGATAATCATTGATAAAATATTCCCATTCGATAGTGAACCGCAAATAAATTCCGTACACCACATATCATTTCAATAGAATTGTGGTAGCTCAGTTGGAATATAAGTTCGATTTGTAACCAAGTGATAGCGGAGGTCCGGAGTTCGAATCCCATGGCGGTCATCTTTTTTTTTTCATTATTATAGAGTCTCCTATTGGTCCTGACCCATCAATGTTCACAGGAATTTTGCCGTTCTGGCCAATTCTAGCCAGCATATTATGGACCAGCAAAAAGACAATCAAAATTGTTGGCTGGGCTTGCAATAATGTAGTGATCCTGTTCGGAAGTTATATCGAGTTGTTTTTTTTTTATTTTCATCGATTGATCACAATGTTTTGTTAATATGATTTGTTTGTGAAGTCTGACAAAAATAGTGTGTTCTATCTCAAACATTTCCCAAAAGAATATTTTCACGGTCTGTGCCCAGCCAGGGTAAGGATTATTTCTGATATTTAATTTACGAAGGAATTGAATATTGTAAAGTTTCGGACCCTCGGCTGGGAATAGTCCTGCACGATTCACTATTGCGTTCCAATAATTGAACAGTGCGGCTCCAAAGGTGGCGTTTGGAGTTAGTAACAAAGCCATCACAAAACAAATCAAAACAATTCGAGCTGAAAGACTTCAACGTGGGTCGATGACCAGTTGGTATGTAGTGGGTAATTGTTTATGTTTTACTCAATAGCTATCTCAGTCAATATTGGTCGTACAGAAATGTTCAGATGGGCAAAAATAAAGTATTTCTCATGGCCATTCAAAATATATTACTAGAAAATGCGAAAATGCATCGAGAACTTGAAAATTCTACATAAACTGTTATTTTTCAATGGAACACCCTGTATTTTATTTTCTTAATCGGTAGAGCTCTTTTTCTGGTTTCAGATATATATACTTCATTGAGGTTATATTCTGTCGAAAAACATAGATTTTTTTTAATCGTTCTAGGGCAGATGATGAACGCCAGCGCTACGATGTCTGGCGTCAGCTGCCTCAGAATCTATATTTTCCGAAAACTGACAAAGATAACCCCAATAAAGTATATATATATATATATATATCTGGGATCAGAAGAGATCTACCGGTTAGGAAAATGAAATACAATAGTTTTCGTAACATTAGTAGGTTGACGATGCTTTCTTGTATTTTCTAGTAATAGATTCTTAATGCCCAGAAAAAATACTTCATATTTGTCTATTTGAACGTTTCTGTAAGAACAATATTAACTGAGATAGCTATCGAGTAGAAAATAACCAATAAAACAATCACCCTGTACATGCATACCTACCAACGACGGCCTGGTCGGACAATTTCACGTCGAGTGCAATAAACATTCACTTTTTGCACTTGTTGCATAAATAACTATGAAATGTCATCGTTTTATGAATGTCGATCATATGAATTTATAAACTTGATTGGGATCTTACGTGACCATTCGTAAAATATCTTTCATTTATTATCATTATTTTGATTTTATGTACTTGGATGTCCTGAAACAAAACTTATGATACGAATTGGTTCATAAATATACATTTTTTGTACAATATACATTACAAAATAAAGGATATAGACAAAAAAACATAGAAATTGAAAATTCAGCTCGATAATTTATATCGTCAGGTAGGTACTTTTCAGGAGGGAACATTGATTTACAAAAATGTATAAGAAACAAAAATACTTATCTGATAATACCTAAATCAACAACAAGTTGGACAAATACTAACTTTACGGTAGGTGCCTACATGTTTTTTTGCAAAATCTCAATTTCATCCAAATATAGGTACTATGAAAGTAGATACCTATAGCCGAAAGCAGCAATTGTCAATTTTTTCAAAATATTTCTGAAAAACGCTGAAATGTTTTAAGTTTGCGGAACATCAAATTGAAGGCGTCTAAGGCAAGTAGAACTACTGTCAAAAAATATATCACATCCTGTACTAAAATGAAGATGTCTTACCTAAAATGTAGAAGTTCATTTTCATGGACACGAATTTTGAATACATCGGCAAGAGGGACAAATTGATCTCCTTATAGTTGTCCATCATATTATTGAATATAAATTCCTGTTCCACTCCAATCAGGCTATAAGCTATGCTGTTGTAATGTTCCTGGGGTTTTTCGCCATCATCTATTTCTTGTTGCAGACTCTTTATCTGATCCTTGTAGACTCGTATCTTATTGTTGAGTAGAGAATGCACCAACTGAATCTCCTTTTCGTTCAAGACAGGGAGAATTTTGTCGGTCATATTTTGCCAAATGTCCGGTTGGTGGTGCGGCCAAAAGAAGTCGATGAGATCCACGAAACGGTGGAGATATTTTCCGAAAGGCAATAGTTTGACCATGCCGATTCCTAATAGTTCTCGTAGAACCTTCTCGATCAAAATGCTAGGCGGAACGAAAGGGGTGGGTAAATCGCCACCCTCGGCATGGATTATGGCTCTGGTGTCGTTTGGATTCACTATTTTCAACCCGGTGATGTAATACCTGTTGAAAATTTCGGATATTAATTTTATTTTCAATTATTTTATGCACTAGCGGACGGTAAAGTGCACTTAATCGCCCAGGTTCGGGGGCAGAAAAATTGCTATAGTAGACAATACAGAATGTCGGAGTTTTTCAATAAACAAGTATTTTTCACTGCGCAATAAGGTATCTTGGTCAAAGTAAAATTTAGGTCATTCTGCTCAACAGGGTAAAATAAATCTGTGTACCTATCCATTGTTTTGAAAATGATTTAGTATCCTTTGCTAATTCCCTACTATTGAAAAATTGAAGAGGTTGTTTCTCCATCAATAATAAAGAACCCAACTAAGGCATCCCCCGCCTACAGTTTGTGACAATAGGACAAATAAAACCCTACAACTTCCATATTTAAAATTGTTTTTCATCTCGTATAGTTGAAGCTTTATGCAGGGGTCAAAATACGAGGAAATACTCTGTACGCCTTGGCTTCAGATGCTTGCGTGATAAAATCATCCGACGACCTATACTAGAAAGGTTTGTTGGTTACGGTAAACCTGTCTCTTTTCACACTCGTGTTGTGGCGGATTGTGGTATACATTTTCTTTTATCCAATGATTGGAGTACTTGAGATTTTTTTTCCTTCTGAACAGGTGAAAAAAGTGAAGACAGAACTTCATTGTTTTTTGTTATGTGAAATATCACTAAATTTGGCGTGTTTCGTTTCTTCAAGAGGACTGAATTTGTTGGTGTGAATTGATTATTGTTGATAATAATTGTGATTTCTGAATAATGAATAAAGATTATTTATTATATTGTGTTGCCTACGGATGCAAAACAAGCAAGACAAACTGAAATTGTCCTTCAACTGGTACTGGTACTGGTACTGGTGGGGGACGATTCCACGTCAGCAACTAGTCCCCAATGGGACCTTTTTGCAATTGTCCTTCAAGGGTAAGTTGAAAATTGTTCAGATTATCAAAAAAACTATAGTAAATTATTTTCAGGATATGTATGTGGATGTATTTGTGGATGTTCATAAAGTTCATTAGTAGAAGAACAAAGAGAGATTCAATTCACATAGGGCGTTTCCTGTTGGTAACTCCAAATCATGATCTGGAATTCCAAATAGGTAAAGCCATATGTGAGTTGGAATTCTGCTTTTTGACAAAATGTTAACATGTTAACCCCTATGTGAGTTGGTATTGTATACATCTGTCTGTTATGAACTGCCGCGCGTAAGAAATCATATAAGGCTTCACTAGTTGACATTTCCAAATCAAGTTTTGTAAATCCCAATAGGTGAAAGCGTATGTGAGTTGGAATTATGCTTTTTCACGAAATGGTAAATGTCTGTTATGAAATGCGAACGTACGGTTTCAACTATTGGTATTGATCTGGAGATCGCAACAGGTGAAGTCCTATGTGATTTCGTGATGCGAATATTGTTATTTTTTAAGAATTGCCAGAACGTCTTAACGGTGTCGATGGATCGCCCTGTGATTCCAGATCGCCTTGTTCACGGCAAGTACAAAATTTTGGTCGCGCAAATTACCATCATAATGATGCGCCATTAACTCAGCGATATTGCCACAATCTATAAAAATGTGCACTCATTTTCAGAAGAATATATCCAATAATTGATAGGAACCATGTGAAAAAACAAATTAGCGATCTAATGATTTGTGTCAGTAATATTGTTAATCGGTAATTACCCGTAGAAAAATGTTTACAAACAAAAACATCATCTGGATAATTTATTTTGATGAGGGCTCAAAGAAGGTATAAAAAAAATAAAAGGTAATGTGGAAAACATTGCATTGTGACAGTTCTTCCTAAACTTGGGAAAACGAACATAAAACATTCTCAAGGTGGGTAAGTTATTGTCTTATCAGTGTGTATGATCCGGTTCAACTTTTAAAGATGATTTGAATATTCCTACAATATGTCCATCTTCATTGCAGATGGATCTCGATGCAATTAATAAGGAAGAATCTTTGGGTAGAAAAGAATCCATCAAGTTGTCTGATCTGCATGCTGATACACCGTATCCTATAAGTTCACTTCGTGTCATCAAGACTAGATTTGGTAATGGCATTCTCATGGAGCTGGACAACAACGTTGTGTTTCTGCCAAACAGAGTAACACATTTGCTGAAGGGACAAGAAGCAACATTTGTTCCGGGCAAGTATTCCCTGGTATACAAAGGACGTAAGAAAACCGAAGGAGGCATTCCAATTCGAGTTGATCGAAACTGCGAAGAGATAGCGTTTCGAATGAGTACGTTTTAAAATGAGATTTTCATTATATTTGAGTATGGACACTCAATATCGTTGCCGGGAAGATATTATTGTTTCTGTAAAAATTCAATAGGTCTGCATAATTTTATCTCAACTCTATCAAATCTTCAAGCAGCATACAATTCGAAACCGCCTGATGAAAAAAATATATTAGGAGTCGATAATACAAACTTGTACTGCACAGAAACGTTACAAGATAGTCCATATGGAAATAACTTAACAAATCAATTTGAAAATAATTATATGCAACAAGGTTGTAGTACTGACTCGAATAGATCTGTGGTATTTTAATTATCAGAACCATCAAAAAAGACACATTCAAACTCAGATAATTGTGGAGTGCTATCAGTATATTATCATTGTACATTTAAATCGAGAGTTGTGGTATCATAGGAGGAAGTGAAATGGAGGAATCTCATATTGCCCAAGCAGATGATTATATCGTGGGTTTATTCAATAAAGCATTCAAGCTTCTTTCAGATTCCACTGATTCAGCAACCAAAAAACACTGGATCAAATGGAATGATCACCATCAGAAGTTATTCAATAAAGCTATCAAAGGAACGCATATGAATGTTTCATCTTTGAAAAAACTTCAAACTAATATCGGACACTTGAAACGATTCAGAAAATTGATTATTGATCTTTGCATATCGTATGTTGGCAGAGAACCTAGTGCAAACTCTGAAAAATCGAGGAAAGAAAGGATCAGGTGGGAAGATATACAGTCGGCTTTTTCAGGACGCATTCGATCAGGAATAATAATAAATATGAAACACCTTGATTTTAAACAGTTCTTGGAAGATTCATTTTTTCTTTTTCAAAACAGAATAAAGAGAATGTTGAAAACTTTTCATATTATGAAAGTTAATACTTCCTTTTGTGGTGAATTCTTGAAGAATAATAAGAATGATGAAGTAATAATTGAATACAAATATCTCAATACAAAAAATTCCATCATTGACATTGGTGTTGATTCGAAAAGATGGTATGAAGATAATGTGATTGACGTACTCTTGAATGAATTAGATGAGTTCCAAGAACGTCATAGTGGTTGGACTTTACACAAAATAGTTAGTTCAGGAGTCAATATCAACAAGGTAGAAATGGGGAATGGAGGTGCATCTTACATTAAACTTCCTAGCCAAATCGATCATTAGCGAGCTTGTGTCAATGTGAAAAATTCAGATGAAGCTGCATGGGCTGTCACTTCATGTTTATTCCCTGCACAACGTAACTCTTCGAGGACTTCTTCGTATCCGCATTACAGTGAGGTTTTGAATGTGACAGGTATTCAATTTCCTATGAGGTTCAACCAGATTTCAGAATTCGAAATTTTGAACAATTTATCTGTTAATGTGTTTATTCTGGAAATGGATCGGAATAAGCAGATGACTAAGGTCCCAATAAGGATTACTAAGAATAAGATTCCAGAAAAACATGTCAATTTATTGATGATTCAAGACGAACATGTTGTCAGGAAAAACTTGAGGGCATTCGATGGAGATGTTGAAGAACCATCATTTTTCGATGACTATGTTGTCGATAAAAAATTTCATTTTTGTTAGATAAAAAATTTATCACAATTAATTTCTAGTCAGATAGAAAAACATATAACGGTGAGGAGGAAGTATGTGATAGATGTTTGAACTATTTTAAAAAACAAGATACACAGTATTCATTGTCAAAAAGTGAACACATCTAAAATATCATTTTCAGAAGAGAAATACATATCTTTCAAAAATTTTCACCATAAAGAAAAATTGCCATTCGTAATTTATGCCGATTTCGAGTCTTTGCTCATACCATTCGAAGAAAACAGAGAAGAAAGCAGGAGAAAAACGAACTCAAAGTCGGTCGACCACAATATTTAATATCAAAATTATATATAAGCAGTGTGTGACTATAGTTTCGACTCTACGGCCATCTTCAGACACAATTAAAAAGTACCTGTTATGTGGAGAAACATCTTAACAATAGGAACATTTTTATCAGTAAAAATCGGATCGTTATAAAAAAAAATTAATCAGGCCAGCCCCTTGAATAGAATTTCCTGAAACGTCTTCTAGAAGATAAGTTGTCGGATTGGTTGCACGAATGATATTTATTCTGAATAACTCATTCGACTAGTTTGAAGTATACGATTTCGAAAATGCCTCACGATGTTTACTTATTCGCACATAATCGTTTTCTTTGAATTTGTGATATTTAGGATCACTTGTTTTCAAATGACTGTAAACTGTGTTGAGAGGTAACTTCTCATTTTTTTATCAACTTGAATCGGTTTCATTCCTATTGTATTGTGTTTAGTATGATTAAGTGTAGAAACAATATTTTCCAATAAGTCGATCCATTCATAATTCCGTTGGAGACTAAATTGTTTCCACATAATATTTATTAATGTTCTGTTTACACGTTTCCACTATGCTGGCTTTTGTATTCGAGAAAGTGCTATGATGGTTAATCCCGTATATTTGCATGAGTTCATCAAACAATTTGTTTCAGATTTCTCTCCCTCTGTCAGTATGCAGATTTTGTGGAGGTGATTTTGCGTATGTCAGAAATTTTTTCATCGCAAGTGTAACATCTTTGGCTGATTAACTTTTTACTGGCTCACACCACACAAATTTCGAAACCATATTTATATCAACCTGAATGTATTTGAATTCTTTTTTCTAATTTCGCATAAGAAATCATTGCAACCAGATCAGCTTCCCAAAAATC